AACCTCGCACATACCTTTTTCAAAATGCTGGTTTTGACCTGACATGGCTTAGATATCTATGTACTGCCACCTTGAAAAATGACTAACATCCTGTTGGTGACATACAGTGTGTCCATTTCCCATGTTGGCTGGTTTACAGTTTCTTGCCTTTGTGCCCATATCACTGCCTAGCAGCTATAATCTGGGCATAAAGGCATGTGGTGTCAATTCTGCTGCTTCCTATTAGTCATAAAGAGAGGGTAGGAAAGGCAACTGATACAATACAGATCCAGCTGCTCTGGGCTCCTGGAGACAGGAAATAGTGGGTGTCCCCCATTTGAGAGTACACCCCCAATATTTCATTCATGACCAAGTTGAGGCCAGCTGCTTCTCCATGGTTTGAATCACCTTCCCCATCCCTCCCTCTTAAGCCATGATAGTGGTGATGGAGGATATGAAGACATCTGCCCTTGCGCTCTGCTACTTTGCTGCTGAGTACGCATCCCAGTGTGGAATACATCTCACCATGTGAAAACAATGGATGTGGCTCTTAATGATACATGTCACATTATCACAGGATGTCTACACCCTACACCACTGGAGAAATCATACTGTTTAGGTAATATTGCACCACCTGACACCTGCTGGGAAGTAGCAGTCAACAATGAAAAGACCAAGGCAGTGACATCTCAGGCCCACCCCCTGTTCGGATATCAGCCAGCACGCCAACACCTTAAATAAAGAAATAGTTTTCTAAGATCTACAGAGATACTCGCAGGAACACCTCAGCAAGCGAGAGGCCAAAAGTGGCAGGCTCAGACCCAGAATCTCAACCCATGGCTGATACCAAATGAGAGACTCCACCCTGGGCACACAGAAGACTGGGCGACTTGGAAGGTGCTGAAGACTGCACTCTGGCACCATGAGATGCAGAGCCAACCTTAAGAAATGGGGTTACAAAGTGGAGTCCACAACATGCGAGTGTGGAGAAAAACAAACCACAGACCACCTATTACAATGCAGTCCGAGCCCTGCCACATGCACAATGGAGGCCCTTCTCACAGCAACACCAGATGCATTCCAACTGGACAGCTACTGGCCAAAGGGCATTTAATATAATGCCTAGTTTTTAAACTTTGTGTTATTACAACTGTATCCTCAGTTCACTCCTGATACGATAAATAAAACATGGACTTATGTGTGTGGAGCCACATGAATGTGTAGGATCTCAAATTTAATTGAAACCCTGTTGATCAGTAGTACCAGACCTGAGTAGAAACTAAATTTGAAAAGCACTGAACCAAATAAAAATATCTTCCTTGCCACACATCTTAGCTATTTCTTTATTTTTAGTTCCCTACTTCTTGTTCTCCTTTCAATGAATTTTGAAATCTTCTCCATCCTAATCTTTAAACCCATAAACAAATACCATCCTAATCTTTAAGGCAAGCGCTGGAGGGGAGCGTTTTAATGATTGCTCCATAGTTGTGCAACTTCCTATCCTTGGAGACTCATCCAAGTCTCAGATTTAGACAGTCCCCAAAATCACTGCAATGTAAAAGTATTTTGAATTGGCTATTTTAATGATTATGGTTAAAAGGTAAATTTTAATCAAGATGCTGGCACTCACACTTATTTTGGGGTATTTTGTCTTATTGAATTTTGGTTTGAGTATTGATGCTCCTCCTCCACACACCCTTGAGAAAAGCAACTGAATTAATTAGGGAAGTGATGCATTAATGCTTTAGTATTATAAATACTGTAGCATCCGCATAATGTAAGCATTGTTAATGTATACATTTTATTACACTTTATTCCAATCTGATGCTCAGGTGGTTGGATTACAACTCCCATCATCTCCAGGGAGAACAGTCATTGGACATAGGAATCATAATCTAATGAATTTGGGCCAGGCTAAGAAAAGGTTGGTTTATAATCAACCTTTGTTATCTTGGCTTAACCGTGGTAATATATTTTTTCAATGACAAATTTTGCAAAGATTTTATAGCCTATAGGATCAGACTTAGTCCTAACCCAGCTGTATCAAGTGTGCTTATATCCTGAGTTTCATGTATGCTGAAGGGTAAAGCAATCATTTCTCTTTCCCACCTCTTTAGTCTACAAAGGAAATTTCACAGCCTAATTCTGAAGCTAAGGTTGGTAATCTCTTTCCCCTTTACCTTTGTGGAAATGAAAGGGAGCTTGCTCTGTCACAAAGTTAATCCAGTTTATAGAAATATAATTGGAGAAATGAGAACCCAGGCTATGACTTTGTTTATGAATGAGTTATAATATCAGCCACTATCTATGTTTTTAGGAGCTTATTCCCAGGTAGTGATTGCTTTACCCTTCAGCAAACACAAAGCTTAGGCTATAAATGCTTAGTAATGTAATGCTTACATTATGTTTGTATCTAAACTGACAGAGGTACTCCTGGTCAGTCATAAAGCAGATTCAGCCTAGGCTGGATAGAATCCCCCTGAAGACACAAGTTCGCAGTTTGGAGGTCTTCCTGGACTCAGCGATGAACCTGGAGGTCCAGGTGTCGGTAGAGACCATGAGGGCCTTTGCACAATTAAAACCTGTGCACCAACGACACCTGTTCCTTCAGAAGCCAGATCTAGCCACAGTGGTCCATGTCTTAGTGACATCCCGTCTGGATCATTGCAACGGGCTCTATGTGGGCCCTGAAGAGTGCTCGCAAATTTCAGCTGGTCCAAAGAGCTGAAGCCAAGTTGCTAACTGGGGCCGGCTGCAGGGAGCGGACAACCCCCCTATTGAAACAGCTCCATTGGCTGTCAGTCTGTTATCGGGCACAATTCAAAGTGCTGGTTATTACCTTTAAAGCCCTAGACAGTTCAGGTCCAGGGTATTTGGCTGACTGCATCCCCTTGTATGAATCTGCCCAGGCCTTGAGATCTTCTCTCGGTCCCACCTCCATCTCAAGCTCAGTTGGTGGGAATGAGAAAACGAGCCTTTTCAGTGGCTGGGATTCCCTTCTTTCCAGGGAAGCCAGAATGGCCCCCTCCCTGCTGTCCTTCAGGCAGCAGGTTAAAACCTTTTTATTCAAAGAATAAAAAGGAAGTTTTTAAGACTATCAGGCTGCTGTGATATCATATGCTTTTAATGATGTTTAATACAGTTTTAATACTTGTATATTTATATAGTTTAAGTGGTATTGCAATGCTTTTAGATGTGAGCAGCTTTGAATCTCCATATGGAGAGAAAAAGGGATATAAATAAACATAATAATAAACATAATAAACATAATAATAATAATAATAATAATAATAATAATAATAATAATAATAATAATATCTTCTTTTGTTATGTAATCTGTTTGCTACATGTGCTGCTGGCTTTTGTTGTGGATATTAAGACAACAGCAAAGTGTTTGCGACTAATAGAGGTTTTGTATCACTAGACAGCAGCTTGTAGCACTCCAATGGCCTAGAAATTAAACAGCAACATTTAAGAGAATTTAGAAAAAGAATCCAGTTTTTAAAAACAAAACATAGGGAAGTCATTTTGAAACTATAACTGTAACTATTTGGATTTTTAAAAGTAATTTTACAACCTTTTGAAAAGGTGACTTTTGTCTTTTTAAAAATATGGAACCTGTGCAAAGTAATGTGAATACACTAGTAAAACGTAACATGGATACACATTTGCACAACTCCACATACTTTAGTCACACCCTATGAAATCCTATGGAATTGTGGGACTGAATTTATGAGCATATTGGTGCAGATCTCTTGGGTCATGATGTGATGTTTCTCCAATCAACATGACCATATCAGCAACTAAAAACAATTATGGGGATATTTTCCTTTCTTCACATGCCTAGAAAGCTGCTCAGTACATTTTAGTGCACTAAAGTGACCGTTGGCTGCCATTTTGTCTAATTTTTAGGATATTACCCCCATTTTTGCCCATTTTGGGGAGGCTTAGAAAGCTAGGGGAAGGCTAGTGGAATAAACTGTCACCTTTTTAGATTTTGGGGAGATTGGGAGCAAAATAAAAATCAACTCCAATTATTTGTGGGCCTTAGAGGAGCTTCTGGGGTGAACTTCAGATGTCCCAGGGTCACACGCAATGCACTGGTCACACTTTTACTTGCTCCTGCAATAAAGCAAGAGTTGTGTTAAAGATATCAGCTATTTAAAAAAGGGAATGGAGCAGCTTTGCTTTTACATTGTTACAAATGTTTGCTATTAACCCTTTAAGGTATAAGTCTATATTGAGATATCAATCACATTACTCAATTTTTAAACAAAAATATCCAGATGTCCAATTTACCCATTTGGACAAGCGACAACACCATCTCCTTCTAGGACAGTGCACTTTCCTTGTTCCTTCTGTTCAAGGGAAGAAGCAGAGCTGTCTCGTGATGAATTGCTCTCTCCTTTTGGAATTATTCCAGTTTTAGTGGGCCAGGAGGAACTGCCCACTCTGAAGCAGAGAAGGGAAAATATATTTGAGGAAGAAACCAGTGAGTGGAAGTATATGTGATGGGAGTACTACAGCTATATGCAAACACCTGGTAGTTCTAGTTCAACCCAGTTCTGGGCAAAGTAAGGGCATTAATGGGTGTATCTAGCATGAGGGAACTGCTTCAGGTTAGCGAGTCTTTGTTTACATTAAATGCTTACTCTAATTAGATTTCACAATGGCATTTCTCAACAAAGGTCATCTGAAAGTAGAATAGGTTCACAGACAGCTATGGTTCGCTTAGCTGCTCTGCTGAGAGGAAGGTCACTGTTATATTACAACTCCCACAAAGATGAGCACACATAGGCAACAGGGTAGAAATCATGAGACATTTGATGAAACCTGCAAATTCCAGCAGCCTTAGCCTGAATAGCCAAGGATATCTGGAGGGTCACATTTCTCCTACTCCTGCTATATGCAATGCAATCTGAAAAGACAGTTTCTCTAATGAACACCAGCTTGAGACAGTTATAGTACACCTCAGGATGTTCCCTCTTCTGAATTTAAGGAAGGATGGGCATTAATGTCTATTTTGGCATTGATGCTTTACCTGTTTTATTCTGGCACCTTCTGTTATGCATTCCACATCCTCAGAACCTTTAAAATATCAGCAAAATTCAATTTTAATTTGTTACTGTCACTTTCAACCCTGATGCCTGACTATAATAATTTCTCCTGCTCTATTAAGTTATTTTGGATTGTTGTGTTGGTATGCTTTTATGGATTTAATAGGCAATGCCTCAAGGGGTTTAGATGGTGAGTGCTGGTCTACTGAATTTCCAGAGTGAATTCCCAGTGTCTCCCTTTTGTTGTCCTTCACAGTGTACACCAAAGCTTCCACCTCATCAGCACACACTCACAAATCACCAGTCTTGTATTAAATGGATCTTTGGCTTCAGTCAATCCAGATGTCCCTCCTTCTGTCCAGATGATAAAACCAGTCCCACTGTGGTATTTTGCTCTGTAGAAGGAGCATTTAATATCTGGTTAGCTATAGGAAATGAAGTGTAGAATATTTTGTCCAACCTAAAAAACCATACCAAATAGCAGAATTTGCTTGACTCATAATGGAGTTTACTAATGTTCAAAGAAGAGGGAGGGTTTTTTCTTTGAAAGTTAAATTCCCAATGTCAAATGGATTCACATTCAGTTGTTATTGTTTCAACATCAGCGTTTGAAACTGATTGCATCTGACGCTTATAAAGGATGATCTTTTTTTTTTAAAGAATGTTCAGCAATGGTTTTTTGAGTAGGGTTTGGTTTTATGTTTTTGTTTGTTTTTTTGGAAGTACACAGCTAAGCAAAGCAGCCAGTACTTCCAGTACTTTAACTGCAACAGAACTGCAGACACCAAGTCTTCTGGTTCATATCAGAAAAATTACTTTGAAGATAACTTCCAGAACCTCGTGGGACAGGCTAAGTAAGGGTTTCTGAAAGTTGGAGTCTTTAAAAGTGACTTTTCCAAATGCTGCTCAAATCAAATGTCAGAATTGATTGAAGGGACCCTGCTGACATTTCCTCCCCTGAAATCTATGAAAATCACTATTTCTTCCACTTCAGTGACAGAATACCTTTTAATTGAAAGCAAGCATTTTCATGTTTTTAAGGGTAGTTTATCTCCTACCAAAATCAATTATGCACATCAACAGATTTTGCAAACTGTCCAAACCTTTCCTGAGGTACATTTAGACTGCTGGACTCTTGTGCTAATTTTACTTATGAAGAAGGATGTCCATTATGCAGACAAGAATCTAAGAAAACCAAAAGATGACCTAATTATAAATATTCCTGGATCTGAGCTTGGTTTGATTATGACATTGTCATTCCTTTTGTGTGTGTGTGTGTGTGTGTGTGTGTCAGGAGCGACTTGAGAAACTGCAAGTCATTTCCTTTGTTATTGAAAGGCATATATTTAGAGTCTTATGGTGTGGATATCAAATGAAAGCCATCTCATTCACTTAAGAATCTAAGGTGAAATATTTCATGTTCTGCACACCAAGAATGTCACGTTCTGCACATCCCTCTAACTCAGATATGGGCAAATCCTGGCTGCCCAGGTGTTTTGGGTTTCAACTCCCATAATTTCTAACAGCTGGGAAGCTGGCTGGGATTTATGGGAGTTGAAGCCTAAAGTACCTGGAGGGCCGAAGCTTGCCCATGCCTCCTCTACCAGCTTTTGATATAAACCTGAAGTTAATTTCAGGCCTGAATACAAAGTGGTTTATGTCTGAGTAGACCTGTATGTATTACACTTTCAGGGACAATGGTGCTATTCCTGGAACACTGGGTTAAATGAAATCACACTGTAATCTAGATAGTCATTGGATGGATGTTTGTGGATTTTGTGATCATGCTGTATACTCTCTGGTTCACGGTTACTGTAGTATATAAAGTAAGACAAAAGAAGAACATTGGACAAAATTTTTCTTGCATGAGTTCTTGATGTAGAAGCTGCTCCATCACAGGCAAAAAGCAGATCCACTTCATGACAAACACATAAGAACGTTGTCTGTAAAAACTGTCATACTACAATAGATTGGTACATAAAGTAGCCTCTTAAGTGAGTATCCTGTTGCAACTTCACGCTGGTGTTATGCAAATTGTTGTACTTTCTCAGAGGTTGCACAAGGGTGAGGTATCATATTCAGGGTTGCACACGCCCCATGGAGCCAATGTATAATGTTGCGCTGCCTAGGAAGTTCTGCCAGTGTAGATCTTCGAAGCAAATAGGGAGTTGTACTGATGATGCAGATCAGGAGAGCGAATGCCATGGCACTGGTTGGTGTGATAAGTTACACAATTTTGTAATTCCGTAGTCTCTGGCATAGCTACATAGGTGTAATGTTACATGGTGCAAACAGTGAAAAGAACATTGGCCTTGTTCTTCACTGCAACACACTCACATGACCCTTCTAGATTCTGGTCCACAATGAAGATGCATGTGACTCTGGTTGCAGGCTGCTATAATTGTAAAGCAACTTTCCTTGTTACCAAGTTCCTCTGATGTGAGACTTGCTTCCCAATGAATCTGACAAGGATTAAGATACAGGACTATGATCCAAAGTGCGTCTAATTTGAAGCAAGATGAAGGCAATGGATTAGACTTCCAAGTAAACGTGTGTAAGGGGTGAGTGAAGCCAAGCAGATGGTAGACCTCGAGCTTTCCCTTCTAACTCTCTTTGCTAGAGGAAAAACCAGACCAGTAGCAAATAAATTTTAAAACGACAGTTCTCCAAGCTGGTGATGTCAGAATAATGGTGTCAAGAGAGGCCATCCCATTTGTTCCCAAGCTCCTAGAGGGAACATTTGTATTAATATGGCTTCCAAACATAGGTGTTTAGTTCCGAAGCTTTCCCAAGGCTTGTGTGGTCTTGTTTGGCAACTGACTTGTATTTGTGTCTTTGCTATTGCTGCTACTCCCTTTTTGTGAAGAATATTTGGGCAAGCAGTTTTGGCTCTTAGGTGTCCTAAAGTTCATTAGCTAATAATATCCACCTATAGGAAAAATTCAGGCACCATACTGAATTATTCAGTAAATAATTGTGCCCTTAGCTTCGTCGAAGTGGGTGCCACATGGACACGGGCTTCCTCAAGGTGGCCAACATCTGGTTCCAATGGGTGATGCCCATGCCCCCTGCAGCTGGGCCTATGACGACATGGCCAATGTTTTCGGCTCTTCCATCATCGCAACATTCTGCCACCGTCACCCGAAGAGACAGTTCCTGTAAAGACAAAAATGGACATTTGCAATATTCTGTTGTGTGCAACTTTGCTGCCTTAAATCTGTGAATAGTCTGGTGTAAGGTCTTTTAAAAATAACCCCACCTGCTTTTACTAATAAAAATACAATAGTGCAGTCAGCAGCTTGAAGTAATATTCAGGCTTACATTTCAAAAGCAAGAGGTTTGGAAACCAGAGTTTCTGTTCCACTGCATCTACCTTGTTTGAAACCACTGGAGACATCTCAAGCATCAGGGTATGGTTTTGTGTGAGACATCCCTGTATCTCTTCTGAAGGGATGGGAAGTATATGGTTCTGCAGATGTTCCAGTCTCTTTATCACAGTGATTCCCCTGGTGGCACAATGGGTTAAATCTTTGTGCCGGCAGGACTGCTGACAATAAGCCAGTGGTTTGAATACGGGGAGAGTGTGGATGAGAACCCTCTGTCAGCTCCAGCTCCCCATGTGGGGACATGAGAGAAGCCTCCCACAAGGATGGTAAAACATCAAAACATCCAGGTGTCCCTTGGGTAACATCCTTGCAGACAGCCAATTCTCTCACACCAAAAGCGACTTGCAGTTTCTCAAGTCGCTCCTGACACACAAAAAATATCAGGAGAGTCAACACCTTCCTGCTCAGCTACTATTTTGTAATTACACTTGCAATCAAGCCCAAACATTTGTAACTAAAATAACTAATGAATTTTTCATCAATGTCATCTGCATCTACATAATTTTAAACTTGATTTTCTTCTGCACTCTTGTATTCCGCCCTGAGTCGGCTTTGGGCTGAGAAGAGCGGTATACAAATATGGTAATTAATTAATTAATTAATTAAATATTCTATAAAGTGCAATGCATACTTCAGGGCTTCATTAATGTAAAGAGTGAATATGAAATATACTGGAAAATTACAGAGCGCAAAAGACACAGTCCCACACATCCAAAGAAGAGATAAGTCATGCTATATCAGTGCGAAAGGCCCGGACATGTTTATCTTTCATTATATATCATCATATTCAGGCTTTCAGTTTATACAATAACTGTGAGGATGAGATTTATGCTGCTAGTGACAGAAGTCAGCATTTGCATTTGCAAACAGTGACTCAGGTGTCAGCTCTATTTAAATCTAAGGAAATAAGGGCTCCAATGAGATTTGTGTGAAGCTGTAAAAAATAACCAGAACTATTTTAGAACATTTACCAAATTGAGCCATGATTTCCATTTTGTTCTAATTTATTTTGAAAAGCAAGTAAACAATGTGAATTGCAACAGGCATTGCAATGGCACCCACAGGGTACATGTGATCACATAACTTTTTCAAGAGTAGAGCAAAAGAGCGATGCTTGGCATCTCACCAGAACACTGCAACACCCCAGAGATAGCACTGTCATGTCACAGATTTCTTGAAGTGCCAGATGGAAGAGACTACATGCAAAAAATATGGTGGTGGTGTTCTGTCAAGGATCTCCCACTGACATGGCCTGTTGTGCCTAGAAATATCTTCAGCACTTGATATTCCTTCCAAAAAAAATTAGCTAGGAACTGCAATGGATCCAAAAATGGCACAGCAGAACTTCTGATTATTTTTCCCATGCGAAAAATGAATGCAGGAATCAGGGCAACTATAGCAAACTACCTTCTCTAGTCTTTTTAAAAGAACCATTTTGGTTTTTTAAAAAAGTAATTTTTAAAACTTTAGTGAGAATTGACCAAGTTGTACCAATGGGACAACTCAACTGGGATTGTGTCAAGTTGACTATGCAGCCCACCTAACCATCACCTACCTCTAAACTTGCTACTCACATGATCACTATACTCTGATCTTGACTGGATTTGCTATTACACATAGCTCCATCACCATCACACGTATTTAGAAGAAGTTCTAAGTAAAGTGTAACCCCTTCATCCACTGACTCAATATCCACAGTTTCGCTTATCCAGCCTACAAAAAAATCCCCCTCTGGAAGTGTTTGTGGGTCTCTTCAGGCCCTCTGGTGTTATTCTATGGCAAGCTTCCAGCCCAAATATAGTCAAAATACATAGTTCACTATTATCCACAATTTCAAGTATCCACTAGCGAGGCTTGGAATGGGTGCCATGCTCCCATTTTGCTCTAAGGCAGGGGTATCAAATTCATTTTCACCTAGGGCCACATCAGCCTTATGGTTGCCTTCCAAGAGCTGTAATTGTAAAACTGCATTAATTTCATTATGTTGCCCTGACACTGAAAGTCCCGTGGGCCACATACAATGACATGGTTGGACAGATTTGGCCCACGAACCTTGCATTTGACATGGGTGCTCTAGGATAACCTACTACCTGATGTAAGTTAGAAGAAAACCTTCTTCCTGCTGCTATATGTCTTCAAGTCACTGTTGCCCTAAGGCAACTTACCCCAGGAGGTTCTTGGCAGGGTTTCTTCAAAGGATGGTTGCCTTCTTCTGAGGCTGAGATAATGTGACTTGTCCAAGATCACTCTGGCTGAGTGGAATTTAAGTGGGGATTGAAACTCTGGTTCTTTTCTGGAGGATGACAACTCCAGTATAATGGTATTTGTCCCCACTTAAAAACATCTTTTTTAAGTTATAGAAAGTTATTTAATTTGTGGTTGTCTTTTTATGGTCAAGAATGAAAAGAAGAGCTTGTGGGATTGGTTGCTGGGTGTGCAAAATTACTTGGTCCCATTTGGCTACTATGCACCACTGAATCAGGATGATGTTTGCCTCTCCATCTCAAAGCAGCCATTCTGGTTTGAGCATCTGTGATCAGATATTTCCTCATTTTCATGAGCACAATGTCCAGGAACTCATTCTCTCATCTTCAAAAAGAGGCGGGATAAGCCACAACAGTGGGTCTCTGGCTAGTCGCTATGGTAACCTATTCTTTTTCTTGACTCTGTGCCACTTCTGAACAAGGTTTTCTCCTTATTATCACTCTTCTGAAGATGATTATTTTAGAGTTGTTGCGTTAGCTTCCAGCACAGAAGCTTTTTGAATGACTGAAGAGCAAATGAAATTATGTATTTGGCCTTCCAGCGGATGCAGTGATTCTGTTTGCATCTCCTGCGCTGGCTTTCCTTTCCCAGGGCTTAATTTCAAAGCCTTTGCCTTGCATGCAAGAACCCTTGTAGGCAGAATCTATTTCTCATTTAGAAAAAAAAAAAACTTGTGAACTCAGAAATACTCAAAAGAAGAAAGAAACTCTCGTCAGCAGGAATGAGGTGGCAGGAATTGTGATTTCCTTGTACCTCTTCAGATGGGTGCTGCTATTTTCTAATGATCTTGTTAGATGCACCTGAGGGTCATGGTCACATAATTGCTACCATAATTCCCACCTGATGTGGATTTGGCTAGCAACTGAAGTTAGCATGGGCTTCCTCGGGGCAGTGAACATTTGGGCCTCCAGATGTTTTGGCTACAACTCATGTTGTCTTATTACCATTGACCAGTGCTGGCTGGGGTTTCTGAGCACTGAAGACTAAAATGTCTGTAGGGCAAAAGATGTCCACATGGCCATATGGTCTGCCTCTGAGATAAAAGTGTCTTTGAACCCATTCATAAAGATAAACCCCTAAAGGAAATTTTGGGGGATAAACCAATGAACTAGTTGAGAGATGAACCTCTCAGTGTTTCTGCAACATCTCTTAGTTGAGCAATCTGCTCCTATGAACTACCTCCAATTTGCATCATGAAAGTTTAAACTATCTCTTAACCTTGACAGCTCTGTTTTTCCATGCCCTTGCTAACCCCAAAGCAAATTCAGGCTGTGTCACAGATCCCACCTTTGAGGCCAGTGAAAACTGTGGTGCTTGAATTACCAGTGCTGGCCTATCTCCACCAGGACATGCCAACATGTAAGTGTGACTTCTGCATTAGTATGCACAACTACTTCAGTCCAGCCTAAGAATCATAGAATCATAGAGTTGGAAGAGACCTCATGGGTCATGCAGTCCAACCCCCTGCCAAGAAGCAGGAAAATCACATTCAAAGCATCCCCAACAGATGGCTGCCCAGCCTCTGTTTTAAAGCTTCCAAAGAAGGCACCTCCCTCCACCACACTCTGGGGCAGAGAGTTCCACCGTTGAACAGCTCTCACAGCCAGGAAGTTCTTCCTAATGTTCAGGTGGAATCTCCTGTCCTGTAGTTTGAAGATTGTTCCACGTCCTAGTCTCCAGGGCAGCAAAAAACAAGCCTGCTCCCTCCTTCCTATGACTTCCCCTCACATATTTATACATGGCCATCATGTCTTCTCTTCTGCAGTCTAAACATGCCCAGCTCTTTCAGCTGCTCCTCATAGGGCTTGTTCTCCAGACCCTTGATCATTTTAGTTGCTCTTCTCTGAACTCATTCCAGCTCTTCCTTAAATTACTGGATGAGCACTTGCTTTCCATAAACAAGATACATGTCTTTATTTTATTAATTTTTCTAAAAAGGGGGAGGATGAGGGAAAGAGTTCAGAAAAACAGTACATTGGTAAGACCTCTGTCTGAAACTCTTCACTGCTGCTAGTCATAGCAGAAAGTATAAGTCTAAAAAAGCCCATTAATTTTGGCTCAGTTTATTCATTCACATGTGGAAGAGTCACCTGAATTAAAATGTTATTTAAATCATGAATGGGAAATCTATGGCCATTTATATGTTTGGTAACAATTTCTACCACTCAGATTACTCATAGTGTTGAATGGGGCTGATGAGGCCTGGAGTCTAGCAATATCTAAAAGATCACAGTTTTCCAGTGCTTATATTGGATAAGCTTGTAATGTTATGGATAAGGTCAGGGTTGCAGCAACAAACCACATTTCTATCCTGCCTGGGGGGAAAAAACCCTCTGGTGGCATGACTTGAACAAGTATTGGCACAGCTGCATACCAAGGGTGCTTATCCTTGAGCTGGGTCCCAACGCCAACAGGAGATTCTGTTGAACATATAGCCCTCCTCTTTGTTCCAAAGTATATAGCCTCAAAGGTGCTGTCTCTGTGCCCTCAATCTCTGCACCAAGAGCACCTGCTTATCATTTTGGTTTAAAGTATCTTAATAAACTGTTCTGCTGTGGTGGTGAAGGAAGACTTTTCTTTTTTGTTGGCATGACTTGAACAAGTATTGGCACAGCCGCCTACCAAGGGTGCTTATCCTTGAGCTGGGTCCCAACACCAACAGGAGAGCATAAGTTCCAGTACAATATTTCACTGGATAACAATGTATTTTCACTTTGGCGCAGGATATTCTTACCTGTAGGACAATTGCTGGCACTGAAAAAATCATGGCCTCATTAAACACTGGATTTGCTTCATCTCTTTTCACGGCAGTCTTTTTCTTGCTGATTTTGCGGCCATCCTGCAGTAAATATACTTTGACGAAAGGATCTGAATGAATGGGAATAAGCAATTCATTTTATTTGTATACAAAAAGTCTTACCTATTTCTGCTAAAACAACCCAATGCATTCTTTAACAGAGGCATTAAATAATTCGACTCTGTACACATGTAAACCATTCCTCGGCCTAGAGGACAGCACATTTTAGGCTAGGTTTTCAGGAATGATAAATGTTATGACATGCATTCAAGTCACCTTTGGTTAGATTGGAACAACACATGTATCCAATACATGTATCCAAGTATCTAAATTTTGATGCAGATTATTTAGCCAAGAACTAACTTACATCAACCAAGAAAATCCAGTTAATTAAAACTGAAAACAACTGGAACACTACTGAGACCCTTCAAAGGCAATCACCTCCTACAGATTTTCAATTTCTGCTGACTGTTATTTAAGTAGCGTCAGCATGATTCCAAAGCAATAGATTCTCAAATATTTTCATGACTGCTCTCCTGTGACAATTCCCTGGAGATGACCAGAGATGCTTCGAAATAGTAGGTGAATATCCCTTCCTTCTTTTTCTTCAGTACCTTTAATTAGCAAAAGAACTGGTGACTCTAATGTAGCTAACTCTGGGAGTTAACACGATGAACAAATTTATTTTCTGATGTGTCTCTCATTATTACACCTTTTAGTTAATCATCTTGTTCAGGAGCTCCAGGATGAATTCTCACTGAAAATTTGGATGTTGAATATCATCCTCATCATCATCATCATCATCATCATCATCATCATCATCATCATCATCAGCCATCCCCTGCCACATGTGGCTGTGGTTCAGTCTGTGTATATGTGTTTTGTGTATGTATATATGTGTATATGTGTGTTTGTGTTTATATATGTGGTTTTGCGCATGCATTGCAATGTATTTTTTATTTTTTTGCTGTGTTTTTATGAGTGATGGTCACTTGTTAGCCTGATAGGTGTCTTGTGTCCAAATTTGGTGTCAATTCATCCAGTGGTTTTTAAGTTATGTTAATCCCCCAAACGAACATGACATTTTATTTACATAGATGATGACTATTATTTTGTGCCTAAATGTTGTAAAGCAATGTTTTGGGCTGGGAAGATTATAAGAAACGTTGTCCAGGGGACGCCCAACTGTGTTTACTCAGTCTTCAAGGAGGCTCTTTCCTTTGGATGAAGGCTGATTACTTAAAATGTGACAATTCCCTTATGGCATCTTGCATATTTAGGAATTGCCCCAATCACTGTGATTGATAGAAACAGGGACAATCTTATTAATTGTGAATTCTTTTCAAGATGGAGAAAAAGACAGTGTCTTTTCATTTCGGTGCTACTGATCCATGCATTAACTCAACAGTGATCAATTGAAAATCTTTCCCTCTAGCATCTATTTATATCACTGTGGCAGGATAAATTCTATGAATGTTCTAAGGATTTATCGAGACGCAAATTACATTTACTCATAAGATACTAATTTTTTTGAATTCCAAATTATTCAATCAATCTAAAACCTTAACTAATGAAAGAAAAAGCTATGTATGTTTTTAAAGCTAAAAATGGATTGGCCTATGGCTCAAAAACTAACACACCAGGATACTTTTCGTAGCTCTGCTAATCATCAAATGAAAGATTTGTGTGCAACACTGTGAGTACATTATGCCATAGCCATTACACATCTATCATTTCAACAATCTACCCAGCATTGCATGAAGAAGGGATATGCAATATTTCAATGCTTTTTACTGACCTGCAGACATTTTGCCATTGGTCCACACAAGATTCTTGGCTTTAACCACAACTACAGTCAATCTCTCTGCTGTTGGTAGATAGCTAAGAGAAAGCAGGATTTCCCCCACTGAATCCCTAGCCTGCAAGGGGAAAAGGTGAAGGCTATTAATTGCTCATTAGTCTATCCCATTAATTGTGTAAAAGAAATAGGGGTAGAAATTGCTTCCTGGTCAATGGCAGTAAGGAACATAAGAAGGTCAGGTTGCTCAACTGTAACCATGTTTCTTCAAGTGGTCTTCTACGAATCCACACAATATGGAGTTACTGCGACTGCACAGACTCCAAAGGAAAGCTTTCCAAGCTGTGATCTTTCAAATTTTGGTGGTAACTCCACCCACTCCTCCTCAGGGCATAAAAGGCACCCTCCTGGCTCTGTGCTCGCCAGTTCCTTTGCCACTAAGGCTGCTAGAAAGGGGAAGGATTGCATACGAAGGGAGGAATGGGTGGATTTGTGTAAATTCACAGAAGACCACTCAAAGAATCATGGTTCCAGGTAAGTAACCTGTCCTTTTTCTTTGTGGTCTCTGTGAATGCAGACAATATGGATACCAGCAAGCTTAAGTCATAGATAGGCGGGACATATGCCAAACCTTCACCATGTAGTAAATAAAACAATGGGTTTTAGTCATCAATCAATATTTTGATGACCCAAAAGGTGGCCAAGATCTCCACCCTTTTCAGGGTTTTGTACACACCTTCCTGATCCCTCAGTTCAAGTGTTGTGGTCTCCATTGAATTGCCTGAAACGAAGTTATAGCCTTGCCTTTGGGAATGGTTCAAAAATAATGACTGACTAACAACACATATCTTTCTTCAAAATATTGATGATGATAATTATTATTATTATTATAATGCTTTATTTATAGGCCACCCTATCTCCCCAAGGGGGCTCTGGAAGGTGACAGCCAGGGCCATCCCTGACCATTCTGCTGCTTCAGGCAGGGCTGTAAATGATGCTTCCCACACATCCAGCTCAAAAGTTAAGGCATAAAAGTCCACAAGTCTTCTTCCCATATCAGTTAGAAGCCCAAATAAATATAGTAATGTTATAAAACAATAAATAAGCAATTGGTTTCTCTTACAAGATATCCCAAATCAGCTGTCTCGGGCAACTATCTCATCCTACCGTATGGGGGAAAGAAGTACCAAGACAGCTAACCTACCTTGTTCATGTCCTGTAGATAGAGCCATGCATTGAAAGGACGAATAGAGAGATCTAAATCGGACAGCTTCAGCTCAGCTACCCCAGTGCTGATGTTCCTCTCATCTTCATCAATGCCAAAGACAGAAAACCTTAAACTGTTTTCCTCCAAGGCAGAAGGATCCAGGGGAATTGAAAATCTCTCATCAAAGAAAACGGAGTAGGCACTCCTTTGGATCTGCACAAGAAACAGGAAGCACAGGAGAAGGTAAGAAACCCACTCAAGTCCCAGGACCCTGCCTGCTGTCACTGCTTTCACATTCCTTTTAAAGAGGAGATGTTTAGGTTATTTATTTATCTATTTATGATATTTCTATTCTGCCTTTTTCAGCCCGAAGATGACTCAAGGCAGCTCACAAATTGGTAGCAATTCGATGCCATAACAGTCCATAGTATACAATAAAAAACAATAAAACAACATTATAAATTCCATACAAAACCATTAAAAATATACAAAACCCGATGTCTTCCTGTTAATTTCATTTTCCAGAAGCATCATCTAGGCTGTTCCATGTTTCGTTCTTTCATAGTTCCATGTTTATCTATTACATTGCATTTTCAAAAGCTTGTTCAAAGAGCCAGGTTTTTACTTATTTCCGGAAGGTCAGGAGGGAGGAGGCCAATCTAATATCTCTAGGGAGGGAGTTCCACAGCCGAGGGGCCACCACTGGGAAGGACCTATCTCTCGTCCCGCCAAACATGCCTGTGAAGAAGGCTATCCTTACATAATTCCATGTCATCAAAGGAGCAAATTGGGAGATCCAAAGGGTTAAAGTAGCTTCTCACTATATTAGGACCTTCTGATGTGTATGACTACAACTGCTAACATCCTCCACTCACATGGCCAATGCTAATGTGGCCTTGGGAATAGTGAGAATCATAGTCTAACTACCTAGAAGGCACCACAATAACAGTTATGAATTCAAGGAGTTGAATTATCCAGAAACATGTGCACACCTTGAAGTTGTCTGTTGAAAACATCATCTTATTAACCTCCCCCTACCCCTAAAGACGGAGCCCCCGGTGGTGCAGTGGGTTAAAGCACTGAGCTGCTGAGCTTGTTGATCGAAAGGTCGCAGGTTCGATTCCGGGGAGCGGCGTGAGCTTCCGCTGTCAGCCCTAGCTTCTGCCAACCTAGCAGTTCGAAAACATGCAAATGTGAGTAGATCAATAGATACCGCTCCGGCAGGAAGGTAACGGCGCTCCATGCAGTCATGCCGGCCACATGACCTTGGAGGTGTCTATGGACAACGCTGGCTCTTCGGCTTAGAAATGGAGATGAGCACCATACCCCAGAGTCAGACATGACTGGACTTAATGTCAGGGGACTACCTTTACCTTTACCTTTACCACTAAGGACAACACAGCCATTAATATGAGCTAGTCAGCCCCTTGAAGAAGAGACTTGTCCTCTTCCTTTGAAGTCCTCTGGAAATGACTGGATTTGTTTTGCAGCAAAAAGGTGATGAGGAATGTGTTAGCAAAACCTTTTCTGTGACTCTTCAGCTCTTGTTCAAATAATTGCATTCCACACCCATACCAGTTTCTGCAATGCCAGAAAACTGGAAAAGGGGAAGGAGAAATCACAAACCCATTTCACATAAATGGCAAAACTTGATCTCAAGGTCCTCGTGCACTGAATAAACCTAACCAGCTCTGAATACATGTTGTATATGAAAATCTGTGAGTGTCAAAGCCAACTGCTGTTGAAATAATACATTCTTATGAAACTTCTTGGAAAACTTTAGCACACATCGATAGGTAAGAGATTCAAAGGGGGAGCTCATTCTTTCATGGCCGACCAAATACAAGAATATACTACAACTATAAATGTGTGCTTTGTATATATGTACATACAGGCCCGTAGCCAGGATTTCGTTTCGGGGGGGGGGGGCTAAAAAAATTTCAGGGGGGGTTTTGGGGGGGGCTGAGTTTCGGGGGGGGGGCTGAGTCTGAGTGAAAGAGGGTCTAGCCTAGCAAACCTTTTGTATCATTACCCCAATACCCCATGCATATGGGATATATTGAGTATAGTGATCAGATCATGATATGAATAAACATAACAGTTTAAATAATGCACCAGTAAGGCCTTTTCGCGAACCACCATGAGAATTTGGGGGGGGGGCTGAAGCCCCTCAAGCCCCCCCCCCCCCCCCGGCTACATGTCTGTGTACATATGATCATACCGTGGAGCCCCCCGGTGGTGAAGCAGGTTAAACCGCTGAGCTGCTGAACTTGCTGACTGAAAGTTCAGCGGTTCAAATCTGGGGAGCAGGGTGAGCTCCCACTGTTAACCCATTTCTTCATTGCTTAGTGGGGATCTGAAGCCTTGTTTCCTTGCATTGCCTATCAGTATCCCTCACTGGCTTTCTATATACATAAATGTTTTATTTGTTTGAGCTCTCAGTGTTTGGATCTTCTCTTTAGCAATACTACAGATATATTTGAACTAGTGAGTGTATATTGCTGATGTTTCAGAACTGATTTCAAGAAAGACTCCCTGGAGAGTGCAAATAAGCAAGGACCATGTTTTACACCAATGTCATTTTTTGGAATCCAAGAATCTGCTTGCCCTTTCACTATTTGCCTCAGACATCTAGGGCGCTTCCTGTATTTCTGTCTCAAGACTTCCCATACGCTGTTGATCGTGCTAATTCCTTTCAAATTGCTTATTGATTCCCTGACTTCTGGTGACACACAGACAGGTCTCATTTCATACTTACTGCTTGCCTGCCAGCTATCCTGTTTACCCAGCAGCCCTGGAAGAGGGATTTCTCAAGATCTATCCTACTCTGTGCAAAATCTATAGCATGCTGGCTTCTGTCTGTGAATCCTCTCTGACTAATGCACTCAGCACACTTTGCTGATTAAGCATTTTTCTCGTATTTACCCTTCAAAGCATTTGCATCTAGTGACTCATGATTTCACTGCTTAAGCAATAATAGCTTTCAAAATCCAAAGATTTTCTGCCTATGACTTCTTCAGGCCAAACCTCGTGCTTATGCAGGTAGGGACAGCCCTCTGTATTTTGCTGCCTGAGACAAAGAACAAACCAGTGCACATTTCCCTGCCGCATGTATGACCAGATTGGCAGCTGAATCTTGCTTCATCAGGATGGCTTCCTCCACCATATCAGAGGGTGGCCAGCTAACCTACAAAGGGGAAGGGGAAGCCACAAAAAGCTCCACTAGCACCTTTGGTAAGAAGCAGCATGCCTTTGGGAAGGTGACTGTTTCCAAGCAGGACTAATCAACTGACTAAATGAATAGGGTGTGAATAAGCAGCACAGTCTGGTTATGGAGCAATAAAAAAGGATATTGCTGTCACTCTATTTAAGATGGAATGACAGCTTAGAATTCTACTTTTAAGTAACTGAATGCTTGGACAGAAGAGAGCTTTCTTTTTATCACTTTCTACACACATGGCAATTAACATAAAATGTATTACACCTAATGAAGAATTATATACAACCAGAAACAGTTTTCTTGATATTCCTCTGAGAATATAAATTTATATAGTGAACCATTTCTGCTCTGCTCCGTTCTCCTCCCTCTCTGTCTCCCATTCCCAGGGTGCGTGGGAGGTTTGCTAAATAAATGATCAAGCTTGCAGTACAAAGAGACTGTAGCTTTGCCATTTGAAAGGAAATATTGTAAACAATGTCCACTAGCATTACAAACACTCCACCTTATATGGGTCCCTTCTGCCCCTGCTGTTTGTTCTACCTTCCTGGATGAAGGTTACTAGTTTTATTCAATTGATCTATAGTGAAAGAAGTTTTTCTTTCTCTCAAAAAACTACAACAGAAACAAATGTTCATGACAGAGGGGTGAGTGTTGGACTTGGAGAGACCCCTGCTCAGGCCTGGAAACCCAGTATATATTCTTGAGTAAGTTACACTCTCTCAAACTCAGAGAAAGGAAATGGCAACCCCATCCCCAAATGAATCTTGCCAACAAAATCCGATAAGATAAGAGTTGCATACCGTATATTCCGGCATATAAGACGACTGGGCGTATAAGACGACCCCCAATTTTTCTAGTTAAAATATAGAGTTTGGGATATACTCGCCGTATAAGACCACCCCTCTTCCAATGCACACCAAATAAATTTTAAAAAAATGAGATTTGAATTCAATATGGTAATTTGAATTCAAATGCTTCTGACATGCAGGTTCCTATGAAAGGGACATTGTACCTTACATTGGACATTATAGTTGCTCTTTCTCCCTTGAATTTCATTTACGCTCTGGGTCGTTTCCATCATGCTGGCAAGTATGAAAGCAGGCTTTAAATGGTTCAGATTACATGTATGTTGGCATAGAAGCTTGCATGCAAATAGAAGTCAGGCTTTGTATTATGAGTACTGAGGTGAAAGCAAAGCATTTGTAGAATTTTTATCTATAAGCAGTCTTTATAAATCAGGACCTCCTATCAGAAGAGAGGGGCAGATTGGACCTCATCCTTCAGAAATGTAGCATTTGGCATGGCACATGTTTACTGGGTCACATCTTGACATGTCTTCATCCTTAAATCACCGTGACAGCTTGAATTGTTTTAGAGTTTCTCAAGGACACAGCCAGGTGATGTTTAATTGTTAGAAGGGGAAAAGAGATCAGAAAAGAGGAAGGAGGGCCCTGGGTCAATAAGAGCTTTCCAGTTTGACTTCTGTCAAAAATGAAATGCAAAGATACAGGATGGGGGACGCGTGGTTCAAGAGCGGTATGTGTGAAAAAGATCTTGAGGTCCTCGTGGACAACAAGTTAAACATGAGCCAACAATGTCATGTGGTGGCAAAAAAACAAACAAACAAACAAAAAACCAATAGGATTTTGGCCTGCATCAATAGGAGCATAGTGTCTAGATCCAGGGAAGTCATGCTCCCCATGCTCTATTCTGCCGTGGTTAGACCAAACCTGGAATTACATTGTGTCCAATTCTGGGCACTACAACTGAAGGGAGATGTTGATAAGCTGGAATGTGTCCAGAGGAAGAGGGTGACTAAAATGATCAAGGGTCTGGAGAACAAGCCCTATGAGGAGCGGCTTAAAGAGCTGGGCATGTTTAGCCTACGCGCCTTCTGCGCGGCGACCTGCTGCGCGCGCTGTCCAATCTGTGAGCCGCCGTCCTAGGGCGGCGCGAGCCGGTCCAAGGGTTTGGCGCTCAAGCTATGCGGATG